GGATACCGATACCGATGAATTATTTCAAGTAGCTTTATGTCCCTAATATTTCCCACAATTCTACTTAAACGTATTGCCTGTGTCACTTCTGGTTTGTTTGCTATCTAGACCAACTTTCTTTTTTTCAAATAAAACACCCTGTATGTGATTGCATATTTGGATTCTACGTAAAATTCTGAGCAGATTTCATGTGATATACCCTATACCTAAGTTCAACTGTTTTGGAAATATTGACAGTTGAACATTGACTTTTTGCAACTTTGACAGGCTGTAAAACCTGAACGGTTAATTTCAGAGGAAAACCGATTTCACATTCCTATCTTAGATTTTCATAAACTATCATTTGACATCAACATTTAATTTAATCGGAGATTAAATTTAATTGGAATTTTCAATTATAGATTAAATTCAAAGTTGGTGCGGATTTACGTCATCCGCAGTCGATTCGCTCCCAGCTCGCTGCTGCCAAACGTATTTAAAAGTATTAAAAATTTGGAAAAATAGCAAAAACCATATGGAATTTCATGTTGAATAATGCTTGATGCTTGATGAATATGTTTGTGTTTTCGTTAAAAATTTCGTTGTTGCGTCGCTCAATAGGAAGGGGCGCGCGCCCCCCGCGCCCCCCTCTAAATCCGCCACTGACAAGTGCGCAGTGATACTTTTCCGCACGCAAACACAGTTAAGGTTGTCGCTCACTGGAGCGTAGCGCACGGCAGCGCGGCGGAGAGGAATTTTTAAATACATTGTGTTAAACGTGAGTGCGCTCACTTGTCGGAAGAGCACCGATCGGCATAGTCCCATTTAACACAATGTATTATGAAAAATCCTCTCCGCCGCGCTGCCGTGCACTGCGCTCTAGTGAGCGTTACCCTTTATACGAACGACGCGAAGCGGAGTTCAGATAAGTGTTTGCGTGCGGAAAAGACACTTTGCGCACGTGTCAGGAACAACATTTTTCCTACGAGCTTCATATCAGGTAGGTAACAACAAAAATTAAAAAAAAAAACGATAATTTGTTCAATTATTTTCAATAGAAGATTTCATTATGGACGACTTTGGCAGAAAGTCGACAAAGTCACATAACCTATAAATTGCCCAAAATTGAAAAAAAATTATAACATTGACAATGCTAATTATAGGTTATGGGACTTTGTTTGTCGACTTTCTGCCAAAGTCATTCACAGGCCCTGCGATCTCTTATTGCCAGTAATAAACCACATAATAACTCTTTTCCGTTTTTCTAGATGTCGCTGACAACAACAGAATTGTAAAATACCAGCACATGAAGAACACGTCCGATGTCGATAACATTGACATGAGATTGACATGTCAACATATGACAATATGACAGAATATTCATTTGATCATAACTAATAATTCATAATGTTTTTTGTTCGCCGGTCTTGAATTTCGTCTTTCTTTGTGTTGTCGAGTGTTTCTAAGTGATTTCAAAGTGGTTTTGTGTGTTTCACGAAGACCTTCAAACTTTATAGATTGGAAGATCTATTTTTATCTTTGTTGATTAGATAAATGACAGGTTCAATTAAACATCAATCAGAACTTTGAATAAATATGTTAAGGATACCCTTAACCATCGATAAAGAAACTGTCTTTTGATCTAATTAACCAATTATCAATTAATTTAAGCAAACATTAATGCCCCAAAGTCTAGAATAAACGAATTTGAACAGACCGACAGTAATGCGAACAGGGCGCCATCTATCATAAAAAGTCCTATGTAAAGTAGTTGTCTGTAGCATCGATGCAAAACCAGTAAATAGTGATTTTCCGATATGGTAGATGGCGCTGGCTTGGCTCAATTTTGTTGACAACAAAATTTACACTGAGATTCCATTCTCGACAGTTTATATAGTATTTATCTCTGGTCATTCATAATGAAATCTTCTATTAATCTGAAGCGATCCTATTCATTCATCAAAAAATTACATAACAAAAAAAAAGAACAGAAAATTGAAATCCTCGTCCTCAGCTGTTCATCTTAAAACGTTTAAATTTGATGCGAAAGAAGTTTGTAGATTGTTGCATGTAAATGGAGAACACAAATCTAAAAATGTGTCAAATTTATTTATATTCAGTGTTTGTATAGAAGTTGGCTGATATAGAAACAGAGGAAAAATTTGTCATCATGTGTCAAAGTGGACAGGTGCACTTATTGTTGCGTAACAATTATTTTTACTTTTCGGCACTCAGTGCGGATACAGGCCTTATCCGCACTGAGTGCGGAAAAGTGTAACTTTGAGAACGGAAATGCGTGCGGAAAAGTTCTACTTTGCGCATGCTCGTAGGATTTTTTTTTTTTTTTAAATAATGAGTAGTTGTCGTCTCTTGAAGGCTCAAAATAAACGTTTTTGGGCGTGGCACCAAAAAATTTCCGGGTTTGAGGGCTTAGAATCCGGTGTTTTTGTAGGAATGGGGTAGTATAGAAGTAATTTTTAACTACTGATTAGTGATATACTCGACGTGTCGTGCTATTTAGTGTAATCAGTTGCTTTTTAAAAACCGCAATACACTGGAATTTTGCTTCTTAAATTTCCTTTTAGCCCCGCCCTACGTGAAAATAAAAGTTTGTGACGTAGTTAGTTTTTCCAATCTGGGCAACACATCACGGTTTTGAGAACGCACAATTTGCACTGACATTGACCTCCAAGAACGAAACGTCATACCACACGTCGTTGAACTGTTGGAGTCAGCTAGGCATTTTGAACTGCGTTGCCAGATGGTCAGCGGCTCGAATACTATTGGTCGTTGCTGTGGCGCTAAATTCAAATTACAGTTTGTTGTTCTCTGACTAATTCTATAGACACAATGCTGATAAATAATTTAGTATCCCACTATACCATCACCATTTAGCCTATAAAATAATGTCGATCCAGCTATCTTACTGATTTTCATAGGTACATAGTATACTACCCCATTGTCCTAGGTAACAAATTTCATAATTGGCAGCGCTATTTGTAAGTAAAGTGAAAAGGAACAAGTAACTTAATTCTAAAATCACACCAAATAAATAACACATAGTCTAGGAAACAGTGGCGATTTTCGGTAGGTACTTATTTTCCCAGTCAGACAACATGGATAGAATTGTAGGGTTAGTAATTCTAAGCAAAATACATATATTTTTAGGGAGGGTTTTCCGATGGGTTGAGGCGCAAAATGCGTTAAAGCTTACGAATGCACGGCCCTTTTTTTTCTCAGTGATAGAAATATAATAGGTGTACTAATGAGAAGTATACTGAAGTTACGTAAAAAAATAGTCCGGCTAATCTGTGAGTATGGATATGTCTGGCAAGTGGAAAATTGAAGATCCGAAAAAAAAAAATAAGACATTTTATCGCACTCGCCCTTTAGAAAACTCGCCTCTGGCTCGTTTTCTAATATAGGGCTCGTGCGATAAAATGACGTCTTATGAAACTTGTATTTTAATGTACTATTATGTTCTATTGTAGTAAATGTGAAATATTTATGTCTGGAAAAATAAGCGTACTTGTATTTTTTATTGATCTTGTGAACCCATCCGAAAATTTTAGCCAGACCAAGGGCGTAGATATGGGGGGGGGGTAAGAGGGGGTAATTACCCCCCCCAGGTCTGTATTTTTTTAGGTAAATTTAAAAAAAAAAACTAATATTTTATTAGATGAAAAATATTGGGGCTTCCGCTTCCAGGTTAAGTAAAATATTATTATCAAATAAAAATTCTTTGTTCTTGTTCTCAGTTCTTTGCAAGTTGCAAAGCTATATCTGCTAGAATGAGTATAAATTTATTTTCAGAAAACTGTATTATCTATTAGTGTATTCTGTTAGTAAAAGCCGGGCTAACCTAGTTTTACACTAACACTGAATCAGTTAAATTTTAGTACATTCCCAGAAGAACATGAATTTGGCCATTCACACCATTTTATTGTTTTTTTCTTCGATCTGCGTTCGGCTTACGTACTTGTTCAGGGCTCACTCTGCCTATGACGTCACGATATCCATACTCATACCGTTCCGCTCCGTAGAGTGCAAAGTCGAACGGACTCAGCCATTTTAAGGTTGGTAGATTTTTAGTGATGCGTCATCTGTCAATTGTCAAAAAAACTGATTTAAAACTAGCATTATAAATAAAGGACCCCGTACACTTCTTATTGGATTTCTGACCGCGGTCATATTCAACCAAATTTTAGTATGTAGATCTCACCTTTCTGATCAATAACTACCATGGGCACAACTTAGGGCGGGTAATGCGGGTATTATAACACTACTTTGATAGATAACTAAAAGTTAACTTCTGGAATTTCATAGTTATACCAGAAGTTAACTTTTAGTTCTGTGTCATAATACTTTTATAATACCTAGCCTTTGAAAAACAGGTAGTTTAATGTCTAAGAAATGTATGTTTGTTTCGCCAGGGTTTGTACTTGCCACCAGCATTTGCCTTCCTTGTTTAACAAATAAAAATTGACTGAAACAAATCAATGTCGTCGAAAACGTTCGTCGGTTCTTAAACCAAGAGTCATTCACTTTAATTTGTCAAAAAAATTGAATGTGTCATATGAATTAATCTACGACAACCCTTTTTTTCCAAGTTTCAAGGTCAAGTATGAACCCTGGTGAAACGAACTCTTACATTTTATATGCATTTACATCTACCTGTCACCTGAGCGTGAGGATACCTGTCCATCCTGACATATTATTAGGTGACAGGTAGATGTAAATGCATATACAGAGTGTCACGAAAGGTTTGTTACAAACTTCTAGGGATGGTAGATCTCGTGAAAATTAAGTTTTTTTTTTCAATAAACATATCTCCGGTAATGCTTCGTGTTCCAGATACAGGGTGTTAGACTTTGTAAATAAAAGTCAATTTTTTTTATTAATTCTCAGAAATGAGTTGGACGAATTTAATGACATTTTCACAGTTTGTTGACACCTTTATGGGGTATCTTTTGGACTGCTTAGTGTTGACCTAATAATTCGAGGGATGTGCCCACAGGTCATGTCGGATGGTTTTTCGCACGAAAAACATCGCCCAGTATATTTATTTTTAATTGGGATATGTCTTTTAAATAGAACTCTTAAAAATACAACTTTTTTGTCTCTATATTTTTTTTCGTATGCTGCTTCGTTTTCAAGTTAAAATTCGAAAACCATTTTAGGCGAACCACGAACATCACTGACCTCCATAAAAAAATAAATAAATTGGTTCTGAATGACCCGAAATTTTACTAGTTTATTTGTTGCTTAGGAATAAACAGAAAAACAAATAAAAAACTTTTTTTCTAAAACGCACGCACTTCTAAGAATTACTATAAAAATTGTTTTTTTTTTACAAAGTATAACACCCTGTATCTGGAAAGCGAAGCATTTCCGGAAAAATGTTTATTAAAAAAAAAACTTAATTTTCACGAGATCTACCATCCCTAGAAGTTTGTAACAAACCTTTCGTGACACCCTGTATTATCTATTCACAATCTGTAGTCCAAAGGTACAGGTAAAATTTATCACCTTTCAATGCTATTTGAGGGAAAGATAATAAATTTATTTGTACCTTATTTGGACTACAGATTGTGAATAGAATATAAAATGTGTACATTTCTTGGACATTAAACCACCTGTATCTCAAACACTAGTCATAAGATTATGTTGTGCCCATGGTAGTTATTGATCAGAAACGTAAGATCTATAACATACTAAAATTTGGCTAAATTTGACCGCGGTCAGAAATCCCATAAGAAATCTGCGGGGTCCTTCCAAAAAGTATGTACCTACTTAAATGTTAGTACTAAGGTCAAGTTCTGGAAAAGTAAATAAGCTTGGAATTTTTCTCTCTAGACCCTCCCCCCCCCCGGCCTTACCAAACCCCCCAGAAATGTAAAGTATCTACGCCTTTGAGCCAGACTCAAAAATTCTTGCTTTGTATCACCAGGAGAACAAACTATTTATTAGACACCAACTGGGAAAATAAGTGCTAAAAAATTACACTGCCTGCCTCTTGGACTAACAGCATTTATCGGAATGTTCCATAAGTAACAGCCCAGGGTCAAAAATTAAACTATAATAAAATTGATTAAATAAAAATTAACAACGAAAACAAAATTAAACTAATAAAATCACACATATGAATCACAATTTAAAAAAAATACAGGTAAAAAAATACCAAATCACAATAATACTGGAATGTTAGATAACAATCCAAAACTATAAACTAACAAACAACGAAATTAAATTATTACAATCAAAAGTAAAGGAACAACATTCGCGCGGCTTTGAGCAGAAAAATACGGGCCAGTTTTTTCAGTATGCATCTTCACTAAAAAACTGAAGAACACAGTATACTTCCAACTGCAGACTCGATTTCAGTTTCGTTCGAGCAATTACCCTGTTGTACCGACTCATTAAACACATAATCCGTTTTAGCTGGTACTTGATTGTTGGGATCGCTTATAGATTCAATGGCTGGATTCAAATGTTCTGGTTCAAACCTAAAAATGAGATAATATTAGAAAAAAAAAGCAAACTCAACTATTGTCTGGCTAGCCAAACGGCGAACTGCAATAGGATTTGCTGCTTTGCCAAACTTAACGGAAACAATAATAAACAAGTTGGTGACATATTTTTTTTGCAATATGGGCATGGTGTAGTATTTTGTAATAGAAAAAAATCCGGCAACATTGCGAAATGATGGATGTAAAGAGGCGTGATTATTCAGAGGCATGATTCTATTGGTGAGAGCCTGAACGACAGCACCAGTGACGTAATTATTTGCGAAACTAAAAAATTTTTTTTAAATAATTTTGTTGGCTTATTTCCTTGGTGTTTTCGGTGCCACTGAACCCAAAGACATGGTTGTCATCAGGCGGTGTAAGTGAATATTCTACTTTTTAAGTTATAGTTATTATTATTATTAACTAGCTGACCCGGCGAACTTCGTACCGCCTCTGAATTATTAAATACCTATTAAATGTTGTGTTAACGGTATCTATTAGGTGAATTAAATTCAGCTTTTTTTTTTGGTGGTGAATTCGGCTTTGGTTGAAGAAAATTAATGTTTACTCTCTAGATCAGAAGTCACCTAAAATTAAAATTTTATATCACTTCTTTTAAGGCAGCTTGTGGGCATTATTCTTGTAAAGTGTACCACCAAATAAATAAACTCAGGCACAGGAATGTTCAAAGAATGTAGAGAAAACAAAAAAAATCTCCAGCGCAGCCCTGTTTCACTCTATCTGCACTGCACTACTCCATCTGTTCTACTCTATCTGCACTATTTTATCAATTTTATCTGATCTACTCTTTCTGCACCACTCTATCTGATCAGAATAGTGGAATAGTTCTGTTCGAAATAGCTCCAGTTCCTGAGCAGCATTGTTCTACTGTATCTCCAATGAAATTACTGCGTAACGGCAAGCTTCGTTCTTGGTATCAGAGATGGCGCCGTATACAAAATGGTTTGCAATGAGAATGTGGCGGTAAACTTGCTATCGGTTATAAGAGATGGCGCCGTATGCCGGCTTAGTGAATTTTTTTCATAAATGAGTAAAATAAGTAGTTTTGTTTTTCCTTTTTTTATTTATTTTTTCGATTCATTATGTTATTAGGGACAAAGACAAATCCACTAAAGCAAAAATCATAAAAATCAGTCCAGCCGTTCTCGAGTTATGAGTGCTAGAACCAACACAACTGTGTTTTATACATGTAGATTAAAAATGTGAAAAAAACGAAAACGAATTCACTTCACAGTTGCCGATATTGTCCACTGCGTGCGCCACAGTAGGGACAACATACCCCTTCCATGCTTTCTTGCATAGCGAATATCATAAGTTGCATTTAAAATTCGGAAGTTCCTGTTACTTGACCAACGTTAAAGCGAAAGTAGTGAAATTGGATGAAAAATTCATGTAGAAGCAGTACAAAAAGTTACCCAGAAGCTCAAAATTTCAATTACATTGGCTGACACGTTCCGAAGTTATTGCCTGGGTAAAACATCGTGGAACACACTGTATATATTACGAGATAGTGATAGACTGCATTTTTTATGTATCAAAGGAAACTGTTATCAGGATATAAAGAGAAGAAACAGTCAGCCAATCAGTTTTTTATGCCTTATTGTCACTGATCATTATGAGAGAGCATTCAACACACGTAATTCCGTTAATAAGAGAGGTTTTCTCAGAGGTTCAGTGTACTTCTCTGTCTCTAGCTTATGGTCCTCATGGTTGGTGTTTGTATTTTGGTGGAAGACATATTCAAGTTACACTTGCGGATGTGATGGAAAAGTTTGTCGGTTCTTTTCAAAACTTTTTATAAATGAATTTGTAGTGACTCGGAAATAACCAAGAAAACAGTTAAAGGTTCTGATTATTCTAAACAACTAAAGACCTAGGATCCAACTACCGAAAATTATTCAAGAATAACAAGGACTTACCAAACAACCATCCCAGGAGAGATCATTACTTAGACAGCACAACCAGAAACTTCAATTAAAAATTATCTGAACATCGATATCCAGAAATTATTGAAAGCCGATACCCTATATTGACTAATACATTGGAATGTGAATAAAGCCAAAGTTCATGGACCTCTTTTTTAAGTGCTTTCAACAATTAATATTCCAAAGGAGCCGAAATATTTCTAAAAGAATCAATAAATCATGCACGAGCCTATATGATGATACCCACGTAACAAACTACTTAGTGACGCCCTTGATAATTAATTAAAAGGGGACCAAATACACTAAATAATCGGATGAATCAACCACGAAAAATCGAGGTCAGAAAAAATTAAGAAATTCAAGACAATGGAGGAACCAATGATATAAAAAGGCAACTTTGCAGGAGAAAATCAGTGTTCGAGAAAAGAGTGTTCGAGAAAGAGCGAGTAAACCGGCAGAACTACGGCGTGAAGGACCAGTGTCGGTTGAGTAATCAAGAAACAAGTAGTAATCGAGAATCGAGAGACCTGTGTCCAGAAAGTCAGAACTACGGCGTGAAAGAGTTGGCGAATTAATCGAGAGAAGAAGCACGACGTGAAATAACAGCGCGAAAATATTCGAGTTTTTTATTAAGAGTTCATAATTAAAGTAAATTTCTTCGACCAATAAGATTTCCATGTAATTAGGTGTGGCCAGCAGTAAATATATTATTTTGTTAAATGTAAGTAGAGTTTTTTATGTTCAGCCAGAAATTGTGAAGGCAAGAGTGTGAATCGAGTCAAACTGTAAATAAAAATTTTTACTTGGAATCATATAAGTTTTCCTTAACATTTAATTGATGCTTATTAGAAATCTAACAATTTTATTGTAAGATTATTTATTACCGACGCCTGTTATTTAACAACAAGCATTATTTATTTTAATAAAATAAGCTTTATTTTAATTGACCACAATATTTCTGTGTTTTACTCTCCACCTGCAGATAGGGCCCATTTTAAACTGTGTCTCCACTCAGAAACTAAAGTCACCGCTCGCCAATTTAACATCTTGCCAAGTTTCTGAATTTGGGGTCTCACAAATTATTGTGAGAAAGTATTTACTCATTTTCAACAAGAAGTTATTCCACTTGAATCAAATCTGACAGTCACACTGTGTAAAAGCCTAAATTTGTATCTAAGACTAACATCTCAAATGACAAAGTGGAGGTAAAATTGTCATGATCATGTATTAACAATTATTATTAGTAACTTGATTCAAGCAAACATTACCTAATTTAAATTATATTTGACTTAATTCTTACTTGCAAACGTTTCCATCAAAAGTCTCATCTTTTCCGTCCATTTGTGACTGACTTTGACTATCATCATTCTCACCATCCGAACTAGAATCACTTGAACTAGTATCTTCGCTCAAATTGCTCTGACTAGTATTTTGAACATCTTCAAACTTGTGTGCTGTTGAGCCTATAATATGAATTACACTTTCAGCTCTCATATTATTTGCAACATTTTCTTTAGGAGCCTCTGAATTCTGCTCGATTTGATTGAACTCATTAAAGGGATTGTGATTTTTCAAGGCTTGCAAAAAGTTTTTGAAACTCAAATGTTGAATTTTATCATCAGGTTTGTTATCATTTGATTCTGGTGATTTTCCTTGAGTATTTTCTAGTTCAGAATCCGAACTAGATTCTTCAACTTGCTCAATCATAGCATCATACATTGCTTCATTTTCAATATTTACTTCCTTTTTAACCTGAACAAAAATAATGTTTTTTTAAATTAATTCAAAAAAAAAAACTCAAAATCTTACCCCTGCATATTTTCCATTTTGCTTCCTTTGAGTTTTTTTACTAAGTTTTGTACGATTATTTGATAAAAGAGCGGGAAATTTTTCCAACAAAGCCCAATCAAACTTTTCATGTATAACCATGTGCAATCGCAACTTTGAGCTAGCATTATGGTATCGGCCACAAATCCTGCAAATAAAATTGGATCCAATCCCTTGTCCATGAAGTAACGTCGGATGGGTTTCTCTTAAATGAATTTGAAGTTGTTCGTAAGTTTCGTTGGTTTTCAGGCAAATGCCGCATACAGTTGCAGCTATGCGTTTATGGCACCTAAAAAAAGAATTGACTTACAGGTAATTCACATGAACTATTTCAGTTTTACCTGATGTAATGTTGCCACAGATGCTTCTTCGCAGGCCAACACTTATGGCATATGTCACAAAATGATGGATCATTACTATTCTCATATACTGTCCTTTTCGAGTGGTGCTCGGATTTTCTTGCACATTCTTTTACTATTTTTGGTGATACTAGATTTTCTTCCTGGGTCAAGTCATCTAAGGAACACAATTTATTTTTATATTTAAAATAATCAACAAGGAAGGTATATATATTAGTACTAGTAATCCTTGCATTTAAAGACTTTACACAAGGTAAAAATGGAAAAAAATTGGGAAAAATAAATAAATCATAAAATATATTAAGTATTTTGTATAGATAAGGAAATTTTAGCACCTACAACAGAAGGATTGATACAAGTGACTATCTCAAGAAAGGCTCTAAAAATAATTTCGTACCTGATTGTTGGATTACAAATAACTTCGAATGTTTAAAAAAAATGCAATAAGATTGAACAGAAGCAAAACCAAAATAACAAGTTGATATTCAAATATAGAACACACCATTAGAAAAAGTAACAAAGTAATTATTAAAGAGTAAAAAATATGATGAGACGAGGCCAAATAAGAAATGTAAAAATAAGAAAGACTAACAAAACACGTCTATAAAGTTAGCAGTGCAAAGTCAGCAGTGCAAAATTTTTATGATTGGAAAAATTAGTACTAAAATGTTGAATCAGTAAAATAGAATGAACTTGACTATTTACAACAATTTGAAGTGAATTTATTATAAGAAAATTGAATCTTGATTTTAAGTGAACTTTCTAAGGAACTTTACTGAAGGCTTATTTGTTTTTGAATGAAATGACCATAGACGTATAATAAAAGAGAGACTGAATTGTTTACATTTTATCCCGATCAAACATTGTTTTCGTCAGAAATCAATGTTGGCGAATTTTTGCGGATTGCCCTAGATCTACCGCCTGTGTTTGAGAACGTAGGGAATGTTGATTATATTGCATGCTTTTATTTGTATCATCTCAACTGAAAATCTTACTACACATATGGATGTGAGTTTTTCCAAATAAAATCTGTAATTTATACTTCTAAAATTATTTAGTTTCTGAATAAGGTAAACTTATAATGTATTAGGAAAATAGCTGTGGCAACGCTGTTTACTCCAGTGACACGGGATTTGACACATTCATTCATTATATGTCAAAAATTGACTATCCAGTGTTGCTGTGCTGTGTTTGGGATTATTTGCGATTTTCAATCAATTTTCAGTGTTTTTTTCCGTCTTTTATATTTTATTAGTAACTACAATGGTTCGCCAGTGCGTGATCTGTAAAAAAATTGCCTATTCTAACCCTGGATTGGTGTGGTTAATTGTATATTCAGAAGTCTTAATTTTTCATGGTCTAGGAAAACCGCACGCCTCTGATAAAGGCAGCCAGGGAAATGGAGGGGCAGGTTACAGCGATGCCATTTTTTAAGCCCATCTTTTTCTAGCTTATGCATAACTCTGGCGGTATGTATAATTGTAAACAAATAATGATTTTTGAATGAGATGTTCTGTCACCTCTTTTATTATATGTCTATGGAAATGACATTTTTATATTGTTTAATGGTTATTTTTGTATCTATACTTTATTTTTTCCCAAGATAGATTTTGACATTGAAAACTTTGAAACATAAACAATAACGCTTGACCCTGATTGGTCGCAAAATGAGGTGTTTCTGCAGGTTGACATCAGTTTTACAATAGCGGCCAATAAGTGGCATTAGCGGCATTGTTTATGTTTCAAAGCTGACAATGTCAAAATCTATCTTGGAAAAAAATAAAGTGTAGTGCCCGAAATGCTACTTTGGTGATCGAGATCTGAATTTTAACGAGGCGAAGCCGAGTTAAAGAAATAGTCGAGATCACCAAAGTATTTCGCCAAAGTGGATCGCTATATTAGTGTCAGGTGTGGGGTACATTATTTGAGAGCAACTATGAGGTTAGTTTAATTGTATTGTCAGAGTATCGGTAGGGTTAAAAAAATAATAATTTCTGAACTAAGAGAAACTGTGATTTTATTAGTAAAATTTGAAGTGAAGAACAATCGAGCGACGTAAAAAATGTCCAACCCTAGTACCACCATCCAACATCACCATGCATAACCTTTTTGTAAAATTAGATTCCATACCTACCTATGATGTAACTAATACTAGTGCCGAAGAATTTCCGAATGTTCTAGAAGAAACAAGTATTTTAGCTGACTAGACAGACACACAGAAGATATCAGTAGCCCGATTAAAACTAAGATATCGAGCTAAGCAGTACATAGAAGCAGAGCCAACCCTAAAAACCACCACAAGCTGGACTCCGCTGAAGGACAGTCTAAAAACTCAGTTTGGCAAGCATTATGTTAAAGGAACGGCTATGAAACATTTTATTGAATGCAAGCAACGAACAGGTCAAGCTTATAGACAGTACCTTACTAGATTGAAGGTGTTGGGACATAGGACAGCTACATTCACAAGAAATCCAACAACAGATAAATTACTGGAAGAAAAATTGCTCGGAGACATTGCCACCCAATTTAATTGCCTATCAAGCAGCTCTCAGGAAATCCAGGAAATTTAAATGAAGCTTTAGAGATTGCTGAAAGGGAAGAATCCATTGAGAATTTTCTCCGGCCCAGCAATCGAGAATGCCGCACGGTGAGGTGATGAACCAGAAAAATGCTACTGGCTCGGGGCCAAACCGAGGTTAGAACCGTTGGAATCGACAAGTTCCGCAATCCAGAAGAATGGTGTGCTACAATTGCAACCAGGAAAGTCACATGAAACCAAATTGTCCTAAATCCAGGAACGTGAACAGGCAAAATAACAGGAGGGCGCTTGTCTGCTTCAGATGCAACAAGGAAGGGCACTTCGCAAAAAATTGCCGCACGGAACTCAGCGCTTTTACCCAGCAAAAGGGAAATAGGCAGACTTATTTGAACTCGAACGCAGCCCCCTATAAACCCCGAGACGTGGCTGCCAACGAGGCAAGTTGGGATTAAATGGAGAAAGATGGGTAGGGATATATACATACATGCGCCAAGGTGAGAACCCCAGAAAGTTGTAATGTAGTAAGGATTAGGGTTAATGATAAGTCGTACGAGATTGCCAAGGGGTTCAAAAAGGAAAAATGTGATGTAAATTTGGTGGATAAACAGGACAATAAAATGCCTGTAAGAGGTATGGCAAAAATACCTGTGATGTACGGCGGAGACATCATTGTGAGACACAATTTTATTGTGGTAAATACAGATTCATTAAGGGCAGATTTACTATTGGAAATAGATTTTTTGCGCCAATATGGTATTAAAGTAGATTGGCAGAACAATTATTGTATGTACGCTTTTGAGAAGGAAATCCAAATGTGTGATGAAAATATTGATGCGATACAGAAAGGAGAAAAAGAGTTGATGAACAAAGTTAGAAACTTGGAAATGAAGCTTGACGAGCTGAAAAATTATGTGAAAAATTTGGAGAGGATTGGAAATGGCGTTGAAGTAAAAAATTATCTAGGAGAAGTTGAAACAGAAATTGAAAAAGATAACTCAATGATGAGTGGGACAGATTTTATGATGAAGAATCTTACGTTAGTACCAGTAACGGAGGATCGTAGTTTAGTAGCGGCTGGTAACCGCTCGATAACACAACCAACCAACAATTTGGAAAATCAAAAGAGAGAAGTCTGACATCATCAATTGGGAAACCGGCCGGTTCTAGTGAAATCCATAGAGCCATTCCACTTCGACAGGATAAAGTTATTAGAGGTTCAGTGAAGGACGAGATTTTGTTACGTGAAGGTTTTCCATTAGAGAAGAACTCTAATGAAGGTCCAGTGAAGGACAAGATTTTGTTGAATAGAGGTTTTCCGGCATGTCTAGGAGAGAAGGTAAATATATCGCCGATGATTGATGAAGTGTGCCATCAGAGAAATTGAGGAAAGTGACAGCAAAGTCGAAGAACGAATTATCAATCAAGAAGATGAGCAAAATTTAGAAGAAGTCAAAAAAGAAGTAGAGGAACACGATCCAGAAGTACGAAGAAGTACGAGGACACGGGACATAAAATGGCCCGAAAGATTTAAGGATTATGTAATGAAGAAACTGTAAAATGTAGAAAAATCAGTGTGTCTAGTCTATGTATATCTAACTAGGAATTAAGAAAAATCTAGAATGCATAAGGAAGGATGTTAGCTATAAAATTTGAGACTAAGAAAAATAGAGTAGAATGTAAGGATACATAAATTTAAAGGCCGTAATTAAGAAACTAAATATATACAGGGTGTCCAAAATACCATGGGTCACCATTGGTATACCAGAAACGGTAAGAGATACGAGGGCAGTTAAATTAGAAAAAAGTTGCCATTTTCGAAGAGTATTTAAAATATATTTTCGTTGTTGCCAAGTTTTTATTAGTTTCCGAGATACAAGGTGATTTGTAAAAAACACGTAGAACTGTTTTTTCTACTAATCATCCTGTATCTCGGAAACTATTAGAAATTTGGCAACAACATATATTTTAAATATCCTTTGAAAATGGCAACTTTTTTCTAATTTAACCGCCCTCGTATCTCTTACCGTTTCTGATATACCAATGGTGGTCCATGGTATTTTGGACACCCTGTATATATAAAAAAAATCTTTAATAGTTATAATTGTGAATGAACTTGCGAAATCACACGGGAAAAGTTTATTTTCGTAGGTATTACTTTTGTTTTTTTTTTTTGTAAAATTGAAAATATAACAGATATTTTAAGAAATAAGAAGTTAGGGCAGGAAAAGCTGACGCATAATTTGAACGAATAATCCAAAAGGATAGAGAGGTTATCAAAAGGGGATTATTGGATAAGATTAGTATTTTAGCGTTAAATTAGGCTAAGAGGATATAAATTAGAGAATATAAAACTGATAGGAAGGAGAGACTACTAAGCACTGACTAAAGTATCAGTTCGCCGACATAATTATAGAGGAAAGTTAAAATACTTTATTGGGATAACTCTGCGACCAACCAATAGACGAGAGGACGTAAAGAACAAAAATTATGAGTACAAGATAGAAAAAGGGGTAATAAATTTGATTGTACAAACACAAATAGAAGGAATAAGGAAGAGCCTAATGGATTATTACTAACTTAGTGTCAAGGGTTAGAAGTGATGAAAAGAAATTTACTGA